CTAATAATAAAGATGTACGAACAGCCAAGTTCGCTGGAAACGTGTCCCTAGGGGTAGCTTGTCCCTCTGAAACGAATACCACAGTCGCTTGGCAGGAACTGCCTGCCACTGGTGCCGGCTCCAACCATAAATCACTATATTCGCTGAAAACTTGTCTCCTGGGGCAGCTATCCGGTGAACACGAATATCACGATTGCTTTCCACGAAAATGCTTGGCGCCCGCGCCACAGGCGCCGGCGCCAAAATGTCCTAGGTGATTAAATTCGCTGAAAACATGTCTTCTGGGCTAGTCTGATCCACAAGCATATCACATCCACTCAACGCGCTGACGACGATCTCCAAGCCAAGGAAATTAATGGCTATTCTAACAGTAATAGTTTCACGAATCGAAGTCATAAGTTCCATTATGTAACACTGTAATAATGAAGTATTAGGATGACCGGAAAGTTTTGAGAAATTTCAACCAGCTCAATTAACATTTATTAACAACAATAAGAGATAGGAATTCATAGTCATAATAAACATTGTCCATACCATTTCCTTTAGGCCGCGTTCATACTTTGCGGCAGCGCACGCCAGCGTACACTAGCGTTAGGCAGCGTTTCCAGCGTCCCGCAGCGCCAGTGAGTAGGAACATATATTTGGTTGTCCCAAAAGTCGTCTGGTTTGCCAAACAGTCCATGACCTTTTTTAGACATCTCCGCTATCAGTCAATGATTGAAACTCATCATTTTCACAAACCGTTTGTTAGCTTCCCACCAAGCCACAACCGTGTTGAGCTGTTCAGAAGCTACATTTCCCCGACAGTGAGTTACAGGTCCTGATGGCTCACTTCTCCACAGTACGGTTATACTCCGCTCTCTCTTATTCCGCAGTCTGCTTCTACCGGGGAAACCTTGTCTAGAAGGCCTCCTGCCTTGGTTTCTGCTCTTGCTGTGCTCCGGCATGAACATTGTACATAGCTATAATCCTCGTTCGTCCTATTCTAAGGCTTCCTCTTTATAGTGCTTCGAAAGCTACCAATCTGACAGTCCCCACGGGCCTCAATCTCCCCTTCATAAAACAAGTACTGAAGCTGGCTCTTCATGAGTTGACCGAACTCCAATGGGGAGCTGCTATGCCGCTCTCTCCACTCTCTCTCTCCATAGGCCCGCCCGCGCCGCAAAAAAGTCACTTTGCCGAGTCACATCACTCATTCGATGTTCTTCGTCTGCCCAGACAGCAGGATTGTCGTATACGAGTTGCCAGGCTGGGCGACAAATGACCAAGATGTTCCTCCACAAGCAGGGCTGGCTCTCGCCCATCACCTTTATGTACATCGAAAAATGAAGCCATCTCCAGTCGCAGCCTGACTGGAGAAGACCTTTGGAATTCACGTCACCTCCAAACAGCTGCGAAACTTCTAGTATGGAGTCACCCATGGATAGCTACCTGGAGACCAGTACTCTCGATCTGGATCCTCCAACATCGAGCAGCTCCGACAACGTCGCCACGGTCTAGGACATTCATCTTTACCACAGTCCGTCAAGGCACGGCCGTTGATGTATGCGAGCGGAGCGTCCACCCCTGGGATGAGTAAGTAGCCACATGACTTTTTCTTCCCTGTAGATCCCCGCGTCGACATAATGAGCGCTGGCGGTTACATTGAGCAACTCGTGAAGAATATCCTCCTCACATGTCGTCGTCCGTACCTTCTTGGAAACTTTGTACTGCTACAGCATTGGGTGCCACCACATGGAATCGAAGGCGTTGGAGAAACTCTCGCCTACTTGGAATGGAAGGGGGCTGGGTACCTAAAGAAGGTGGAATGTCCAAGTAGGTCACCTGACCTGAATCCCCTCAATTACCCGTTTCGGGCGAAGTTCAATAGGGTGGTCTACGGTTTGGATAATCAGCTATCTCGCTTATCTCAGGCACCACGTCGTGGTCGCGCACCAGAATCTCTCGATGGCGCTCGTCCAGAAGTCTGTGGCGGAGTGTCATGATAGTTGTCTAAGGTGCTCTTCAATATGGTGGTGAAACTGTCCGACAAAAATTCAACGAATTGTAATTTATAGCGCCTCGAAAGTCAGTGAAGAAAAGTGACTTTTTTGGCCCCCCCCCCCCTGTAGATGAGCAACGTTGCAACTGGCTATGGAAGACGTGTCTCCAGGTAATCACTCCCGGAAGCGCCAGTGGCTAGATCCTCCAGAAAGGGCAGAACCGGTCGCGCAATCCTTTCAATCCAGTAGGGCGGTGAGACTGTGTATGTGGAGGAGCCTCTCTCTCTATTTCTTCCAGAGATTTTCTATCTCCTAACGCTATGGTAACCAGGGAACCCTATTGTAATCAGCTGCAAAGGGGTGGGGGGGAGGGATGAAATTTCCACCAAATGGCCCCACAACCGAGCAATGTTTGCCTACTCCACCACAGCTCAGGGTCACACGTTTCGAAAATGACACTGCTCGAGATCCTGAAGCTTAGCTGGGGAATTCCACCACAGTCTTCGTGTAGCCCTGACTTAGCTCTTTCCGATCGCCATCTAAACTAATCCCTTAGCGGCCATCTTCTGGGTAAAAAAAGGATTTTTGAAAGTACCTCAAAAATGACCCAGCTGCCTTTCTCGGCACGGAACCAAAAAGCTTCTGGAAGCAAGGCAACCACTCTTTGCCTGGTGGTTGGCAACAAGTTGCCGATGAAGGTAACATATATATTGTTGATCAAAATTGCTTCTCACTGGAATAAACTTAACTCGAAAAAAAAGTTTGAAATGGTCACGAAACTTTTGGGACAACCTATCGATCTAGGGTTTGCCAGCGTTCGCTAGCGCCGGAAGTAGAGAAAGCAGGGGTGCGGGGCTAATGCCGTTTGGACTCCAGAAATTTCGGCTCCGAGCTCATTTTAAAAGTGGCAAGATCACCAAATCCGCTAAAAACTTGTATATAGGGGTAATTCAACATCCTGATCACGAATATGACATTCATTTTTGGCGCTGGCGCTAATGGATGACACTACGGTTACCTGCGCTCTGCTAAGGCTGAGCCCAGGAGGTAATCGTAGTGTCCTCTCTTGGCGCCAGCGCCAAGAATGAGTGTCATACTCGTAATCAGGATGTTGAATTACCCCTATATACAAGTTTTTAGTGGATTTGGTGACTTAGGCAATTTGAAAATGAGCTCGGAGCCGAAATTTCTGGAGTCCAAACGGCATTAGCCGCGGTGCAGTCGCACACACCGCAATTTCACGACGCCTAACCAAGTTGTTCGCTACCCTAATACTCCCCATACCTACTTCCGGCCGCTGGCAAGCGCTAGCGAAACGCCGGCAAACGCTAGTGAATGCCAGTGAACGCTGGTGGCGCCGGCAAGCGCTGGATCGATGTCTATATTTCTCGAGTCACTGACGCTGCGGGACGCCGGAAACGCTGTCGAACGCTAGCGTACGCTGCCACAAAGTATGGACGCAGCCCTTATTGCGTGGAAGCCAGAATGAAATGAGTACCGAGAGTGCGGGGCGCACGCAATATCTGAGCCAAACTTCCATGCAGGAGGCCGATTGATCTATAGATGATCAGACACCTTTGTAGCGTGTTTTATGCAGCATC